AGTGAGTGCCTGCGACGGCTCCCGCTTCTGTGGCTCTAGCTGTGCCAGGAGTCGGGAATTGCATGGCTGTAGGTTGTATGCGGGGAGGACATCATCCCCCAGTCCTTGCCTGTTAGGATGCAGGCAGCAGTTTCTGAAAGGTCCCTGCGCGCAGCAGCTCCCTGTCGGCACAGCGCGTGCGGTGTGGTTACGAAAGGATGCTCACGCTACCTCAGGTTGTGCGTCGAGCCCCTGCCATGCGTTCAAAATGTGGGGGATGATTTAATTTCAGTTTACTGCAAAGGATGCAGAGGTGGGGTAAGGAAACTACACCCCCCCCAACTTGCCGCCTTGGAAAAGTTCCAGCAGGTGCGGTACCAGGTGGAAGTCTGCTGATTTGGGAAAAACATGACTGGTGCTACCGAGTCAGAATTGAGGTAACAGACCACAGGTGGGATGGGAAGAGGCCGTTTCCTGAGATGTGCATTACTCGGTGGTGGGAGAGAATGCAGATCTAGGCTCTCCCGTGTTTTCATTACAATTCCTCAGGGCATGGAAGATGGCACAGCTCCTGCTGTGTATAAAAGAAAGCAAAGGGGAACGGTGACGATATTGCACGTTAGGGACGTTGTACGATTGCCTCTATTTCATTAATGACTAGAGCTAGTATAGCTGAGACCTCTTAGGGCCAAGGTCACACCACCATCTTTAACTTCTCCTGCAATTTATCAGGGTAAGCTTCCAAAACTGCAGCTGTATGAAGCTGTATCATTCTGTACACGATGCTGAGAGGGACTGTAATGCCTTCAGTACAGCGGAAATACTTTCTGAAAAAATTTTTTACAGAGAGGTTGTAGCTGTCCCATCCCTGGAAGTGTTCAAGGTCAGGCTGGACGGGGCTCTGAGCAACCTGATCGAGTTGAAGATGTCCCTGCTGACTGCAGGGGGGTGGACGGGATGGCCTTTAAAGGTCCCTTCCAGCCCAAACCATTCTATGAAGATTCAGTAGGTGTTCAAACAGAGAGGACTTGCACACCGAAGCTGGAAGAGCTAGATGCTATACTGGTACTGGTGCTTATGATTTGCAGAGAGTGGGAATATGTGACCTAAAGCCCGTCTGGAGAGGTGTTCCTTAAGTGCTTCTGAAGCATGGGGCTGGCAGCAAGAAAACTTGATTTTTGTGAGACAGCTAAGTCAGCTTTTAAAATCCAAGGTTAAGATCCAGCTGTGTTTTTATTTTCTGTGCCCTGCGCAGCTCACTGACAATTCCAAGAGAAATTATTTTAGATGAGTTGTGCTAGCTTTGACATGAAACAGCAGGCTACAAGTGGAGTAGTACGCAAACTAAGATCTGAAAAGGGGCTGAAGTTAGGGCTCGGTACTATTAGCTTGTGAAACTCTCTCTTGTTACAAAGAAGAGAGACTTTACGTCAGATATACTAACTTTATCCCCTGTGGAATAGGAAGAATGTTTTAAGAAACACTAAGGATATAGAATATTTTGTAATGATACAAAAATCTGTTGAGAAGAAACACTTTGCCTGGATTGGGTGAATAAAGCATTTTTACTGAAGAAAAATATATGTATGAAAAACTTCTGTGAAAGGCTGTAGCATATGAGTAAGATCCTTCAAAGTACAGCTGAGACTGAAACAGCTTCTTTGAAAGAAGAAAAGGCAACAGAAATGTGCATGCTGCTTATTTGCAGAACGTTTACATCTTCAATGTTATAAAATAGCCACATTTTCTAAAATTGCCCCTCTGAAATGCCTGATTAAAAGACAGTGAACCATTGTATCCCGTCAGCAGCAGTTTATCACATCTATAAATCCAATTTAAATCTAGTTGTAACAGGAGTGTGAGACACTAAAGAACAGCGTAAGAGCAGTAAAAGGAGCTTCTAGTTGATAACGGATACCATATATATTTAAAAATACCAAAATGAAGATAAAAGTTTTAAATTAAATTAAACAGTTCTGTAAATGAGTAATAAACACATCTAAGATAGCACATGTGTGCTCCTCTGTCCAGTTGCCTCCTGGAAGGAATGGAGTGACTTGAGACTGCAATTTACAGGATCTTCTGTAGGATGGAGTTGGCAACTTCCAGGGATTCATCTTTCACCAAGACAATATCGTAAGAGTCCATGTATTTTTCCAAAAGCTCATCTACCTAATTGCAGAAAGGATGAAAAGAAAGACCTTCTTAGTTACAGAATTAATTATTGAAAGACTTTTTGTCAAAATATCGCCCAGTCTTTCCACCAAATTCTGGGAATGAGCCATGCAAATGTGTATCGCTCCTATGAGCGAATGCCACAGGATGACAGAGTAGGAGTGGCCTGACATAACTGTGCGTGCAATCCAAGATACAATACCTCATGATTATTCCAGGATCTCACACATAAAGATACTGGAAGAAAAACTACTTCCTCAGCTTCCCGAAAGGCAGAGAGAAAGAGAAAACTTCTCTCTCCTGAATGCAAATGGATGTGCATTAGAACTTAGCAAGCAATCACTTCTGTGTCGCCTCAAAAAAAACCAAAAAAACCAAACCAGAAAAACCCCAAAACAAACCAAAACTGAGACACTGCCTAAATTTATTATTTGGAAGACTGTAATTCTGCTCAATTATCAATCCAGTATTGAAAGGATGGGGAGGAGCCACAGGAGTTTAAGAGAATTAATTTCTCTAGCCTCTGAATTTTACTCCTCAACAAAATACCTGTTCGGAAGTAGTTCAGTACAAAAACCAAAGCCATTTACACTTGTGTTTTTGTAGCATATGGGTTAGAAAAAAACTTGGGCAAGAAATCCATGAAAAATGTTTGAAATCTCAAAACAAATATGGGCCAAACGCTTGGTTTGGTATCTGAAGGGTATTATAATGAACCTGTTTCTAACTCACAATGTTTCACTCCAAGTTTGTAAGGTTATATAAGGCTACTTACTTTATCATTGAGATAGCCGATCTTAAGAATGTGTTCAACATTTGCTACTCCATCTGCCATACTCAAGTCTCCTTGAGAATCACCCAGGAGTATGATATTACTGTTGTCTTTTAGTTGTTTGAAGTACTCTGTATTCTTCAAGGCACCATCATGTTTGTTGTAAACATGGATCAATTCTCCTTTAAATCCTTTTAATATTCCCTGTTAAAAAACCCCACTGAAGTTACTTCTAGTATCACATAGACCAGATAGAATCTAGAATGAAACAGGTGATATTATTGTTGAACTAACGTTGAACTACCTAATCTCTCATGATGAACAAGATAAATTACTGTTAAATAACGTAATAACTGTAATAGCTTTGTTAAGACTAGACAGACAGCGATCCTCCCTGCTTGCAGGAGGAGTAGCGCTGTACTGGGCTGAGTGCGAGGGTGTCATTAAACGAGATGCGTGATATCTTAGTCACACCATGCTAACAGTGTTTGAACTGTCATCTTCTCCTTGGTTTTTGCCTGGGAGAGTGCTGCTATGCAATTCTAATTTTCTACATGGCCAGGCAGACAGCTACACTTGTTGCACTAAAACGTTCATCTTGTAGTATATCTAGGTAGCTACTAAATACCACAAACAGTCATGTTTGGTAAGAATGTGTTATTTCATACGTACATTTTCATCAAAATCCATGAAATTGGAAACCACTTTGACATTAGAATGGTAGACCCCAGCCTGGTGGATAACTTCCTCAAGGATGTCCCCAATCCCAGCAGAAAATATGAACACGGGAATATTATGTTCACTGAGCTTATCAAAGAAGTTCTCATATCCTTCTCTGCAACACAGAATGTAAATACAAATCAGATCTCAAATACAGGAAGCCAAGAAAAGTCCGAGTTTTCAGAAGACATTCACATCATCCTTGGAAAAGAAAATTAATTTTCCCTGAGCATTTCACTTTGTTTCTTTTACCTCACCTTTTCACGTTAGCAAGAACCATCAACCTAACACAAGGCATGTAGTTTTAGCAAGAAACTGCTGCATCAAACTGTTTGGCCCTGGTATGTATAATTTTTTCCTCAAAACCATCTAATCGTGTTCTAAAAATTTAAAAACACTTTCCAGTTTTCAGTACACAACCAAAACTATGTATGGTATTCCAGGAGCAAGATATTACCTCTATACACTTTCTCCATGCAGTCATTGATTGGTAGAATTTTACTATTTTTTAAAATTATTATGAAAGTTTTTGAGGTAATTTTAGCTTGTGAATTAAGATTCAACCCACAAGGACTTAGGCTTTCAAACAGGCAGAGTGGGTGTGCTTGTCTGTTTTGCCAAAGATAAGAATTTAGTCAGTATGATAAACAAACACTTCCACAAGTTAAGTTCTAACATCCTGTTTCAGTAGTCCAAAATTTACAGACAATTTTGGAGAACTTTAAAAGAGATGGGAGCCACAGCACGTTTCAAGCAAGAATTTTGCTGGCTTTTAAATGTGCCTTTAGCCATAGAGGAAGAACAATATTTAATACAACATATGAGACACATTCCTCAAGTCACTGCATTTTTATCTCCAGTAAACTATTATAGGGAATGTTTGTTTTTCAAAGGAACAAAGTTGAACTCTATGTTCCCCTTAAAAAGGAAAAAAGGTGTCACCAGTGCAATTTGAAGAGGATGAAAGTCTACAGAAATGAAGCTTGTAGAGATGGGACTAAAAAAAAAGTTTCAGATCTCTACTTTATACAGTGTGATTGTTGGAGGCATTTAGCTACAACATATCAATAAAGTGGGAGCATGAAGAGCTCACTATGTTCCAAGACTAAGGTGTCAAATTATCAGGAATGTGGTTCCCTCCCTTTTCTTTTCTTCTGCCCTCCTCTCCAACACCCAGTAAGAATCTACAGAAAATGCTCCAAAACAGTATCGTTCAAATCAAAAAGAACTTACTTCAGCATAACATCAGATTCCCTCACAATTTCTGCAAACTTATCCTTTTGTAAGCCTTGTTCAATGAGTAGTGCATGAGATTTATTGTACCTAGAATATAAGCAAAAAAATGGTTGAAATGGACTTACTAAGATTCACCTTTCATTAAATCTCATGATGAAAAGCATCCTGTGTGGTTAATTCTTGCTCATTCAAGTTAACAGCAAAGCAAAAACAACTGTTGCACAAAGAGATTAATGCAGTTATTGTGTTAGCTAGAAGCTAATTACGGCCATTAATTTGCTTTAAAAACTCATTAAATCTAATCTTAGTACAATTTGGGAGGTGTCTCTTACCATTCTACCATATATGGATATTTTTCTTCAATAGTGAGAGCTGGATCAATTTCAATAGCGTAATAGGTTTCTTTCAGCTGCAATAACTGAAGGGAAAAAAACACCAGACGTTTAATGTATTTTTATAAAATAACACTTGGTATTTGATTTCACTGATCAAAATAACTTTCTTCCTTCTGATTACATTATTTAGATATAATGGAATCTGAAATGCTGTTTGAACAAAGAGTTACTTTGTAAATATCTCTAAGAAGAAAAAGTGGATGCTGTTAAACTGAACTACATGCTACTATCAAGAATACAAATATTTCTGTTCACTTCTATTAGCGATGGGATGTCTTGCAGTCAGTGAGAAAGCTCAAAGAGCTTCAAGGATTTGAAAGTATCCCTTGTCTTGTTGTGCTGCGTCATTAGACACACAGTACAGCCAGGGAATAACAGTTGTCTGTACAACAAACCCCGAGCTAGCAGGTTTTCTGGTTACCTTTTTCCGACATTCCTCTGTGATGATCTTAGAGTTATCAATGATGTCTGGGGGGGTGGAAAAAAAAGAAGTGTTAAACATGATGGTATATTTCTTTTGTTTTGCTCTACACCACCGTAAATGGCATAGATGACAATGTTTGATGACATACCACTAAGTTTCCTCAGAACTTTTCTTACCAGCAACCAGTAAAAGACACATTTTTTTCTTCATAAGCATGAAGATGTCCTTCCCCTCATCTCTGAATTAAAAGGTCAATTACAAGCTCTCTTATCTGTCTGTTGAGATTTAACTGTTTCTGAAATCATCATGCAGCATCCTGTGTGTTTTAGGATTCCCACTTCATTAGTAAATCGATTCCCTTTGTTCTAAAAGGCTACATGATAAAAATATCAAGAATTCTGAGGAGCTTACCATCTGGTTCTTGCAGGTGTCAGGACTATTGTGTGCTCTTAAATAAGTCAACATCTAGCCACTAACATCTTATAGTTCAGAACTTAACGTTTTCATTGTGAATAGCAACTTATCTGATTTTAATTCACACAGATTGTGATTAAAATACATAAAAACACATATAGACTGATACTAGAATACTTCTTCATTAGGATGTACAGGTTAGGTAACAAGTCAGTATAAAATCTCACATATTAGGGAATAAATTGGATAGAAAATTAAAATCTAGGAAAAACTAAAAGGAGTGAACAAACCAATCCATATTAAAAAAAAAAAAAGTACTCACTATGACAAGTTGGACATCTTTTTCCATTGTAGGAAAATCTACTTAATGTCATATCAAAATCTGTAATAATCTATTTAAGGAAAGAAAAAGCAAAACTGTCTTACAACATGGAGGGACAAAATAAAGAATGGCTAGAAATTCTGAACGATCAACAACAGTTGCAGCTGAGTAGAGTATGTGTCACAGAAATCTCCCTATTCTATTGAACTATTGTAACATAAGCTAAAATATCCCATAAGAATAACTCTTTTCTAACAAAACTGTTTTTCTAATTCCTTTGGTTAGAATGTTTCCTGAAATTACTAAGCTTGTATGTTTACATCATGTACTTAACTAGTGTCTGGCTGAATTACAGTTGAATCACCAAGGGCTATTAAAAGAGTTAACAGATGTCTATGTTTTTGAGATTTCTTGAAGGCTGACTTCTGTTATATATATATTCTTAAAATTTTTTTGGCATGGAGCAACAATCACATGATTGCTTTCATTCCAAACTGGTTATACCTTCTACTATCTTTACCTGAAGTTTGGCAGCTCCACCTTTGATGAGGCCACAAATGATCTCCTCTACTCTCCCTGGGTTCTTAATATGGACAGTCTTCTTCTGAAATTCTGGCATCTATGAAGAAAAAGAACAAAGACAAAAATATAGTTACAGAGGAAAACTTACTAGGCAATACCTGTTATCCATAAGATTGGAAGCTCTGCATCTATAAACCATTTCACATGACATCAAGACATGCTCAGGACAGGAAGGCAAGTTAAGAGTAAGAAGAAAGAGAAAATACTTTGGATGTAGTAACTGATGACTGCATATAGTTCTGTTTGCTTTCAACACTTGTTTTCATTTCTTAACTCACAGAAAAAATCATTGTATTTGTAAGAAATAAGGGAGATACAGAAACAGGACATACAGGATCTACTACTTACTGCCAGAAATTTCCCAATTTAGTATGTCACCGGGAGATGGTGAACCTTAAAACTAGCTCTTTGTGCAATTCGTATGCCCTTAAAGTTTCAACATAGATAAAGAAGGCAGGCTGATTTTTAGATACCCGTTGTTTTGTTGAGAATGCTGCATGTGTCAACCAAGTAGTCCAACACAACAGGGCTGTATGGTAATTCCTGCTCCCTAGCCAGTCCATCATTTTCCACTACCTATTTTACTGCATGCTTTTGAAATAACACACGCTATCACAGCACATATTCCTTTTGAATGAAAAGTAGTTCTTGACTATTATGATAAATGCTGAATTTGGAAAAAAAGAAAAAAAAAAACCAACACAAAACCTCTACCCCTCCCCAAACAACACCCTCCCCCTTAAGCCTCTCCTTACTCTAGAAGTTTCTCTTCAAACTTGCAGAAATGGTAGAAGAACTACTTACTGACAGAAATTTCCCAATGTAGTACGTATTTCCTTCCTTCGTAATCACGTATGGACTCTTTCTAAAGCAAAGGCATCAGACATTTGCAATCTGTCTACAAGGGCATTTACCAGTGGTAGATTTTATTTTCTGTATATAGAATTTCAGAGATACTGAAGTGCTCGGAATTACATGTTTCACATGCTCACATTCAGCTCTCCTTTTCATATACCTAGCATGAAATCTTTGCTGCAATGAGCTAATTTTTTTTAAAAAAAAAAGGCAGCTTCTATTTCCAGGCACATTTCTGGAACCAGAGTTCTCATATCACCAATTGTTAGTAAGTCACACAACACACTAACACACTTTCTTCCTGCTCTGGATGCTACAAAGCCTTTTGTTCATTAGTAAAAACTGACTTGCATTCAAATTGCAATTAGGTTATCACGTAAGAAAAAGATGGCATTTTAAAGTCTTGCAAACATGTTTTTGTAATGGAAAAGACACTTGTGTGTTCACGGAAAAGAACGAGCTGGAGGTACCTTTAACTATCAGCTGTAGTCCACTCTGCTCTAAGGTAGGAGCAAACTATTACAGCTACATCATTCTCAGATTCTTCAAAATCTCCACTCGTATATTCCTCGCTTTCCTCAACCATGTATTTTAGTGCTCAACTACCTTTATGTTCAGAAAGGTTTGCTTAATCTCGATCAGTTCCTTCAATCTTCTCTGGCAAAGCACAATTTTCTAAACCTCTGAGAATTCTTGATGTTGTCCCAGCCCATCCAGTTGAGCCAGATCGTTCTTGAAACCCAACATCCATCACTGTGGGTATAACCTTTCTGCTCTGCCCTGCTCTGGAAAGGCCTCAGCTGAAGGGCTGCTTTGGCCCATGTCTTCAGGTAATATATTTGCATATACATTTGTGAATACACTTACTTTGTTAGCTGTAATATGGTGATAATGATTCAAATTCAGTAATGACCAAGTATTCTTCAAAATTACTCCCAGGCAGAAACAGGTAGTTGCACAAAGTGCTAAATTTTACATTTAGTCTCGCTGGATTGTATCCTTTCTTCCACATAAGTTCTCCTATTTTTCTAGATAACAAATAATTCTAAACCGCAGTATGCTTACTGCTACCTTCTGGCTGATATCCTCAAAGACACTAATGAAAACAGAAATCCTTCTAAAACCCTCATCATGAGTCTCTGATAATTTTCCAAGGTTTTCCACCCCTCCAAAAGTTTCACCTATACCAGAATATCTTGCCAAAAATTCTTCAGTTATGACAGGGTATTTACTACTTCTTTGTTTTGTAAGTCTCATAAAGAAACAAACTGGATTTATTTCACTTAGTTTGGAAGATTTAAGGTTTTCCTTTGCCATGCTACGGCAAAGACATTTTCTGTAAAAGTGGTACCTCCTAAACCAAGATAGTCGTTCCCTATGTGGCTGCAGTGCCTTGCTACTCTTATTAGCGCAGCAAATTCAGAAGAGGTATGTTAGGACTGGCTTCCAACTATCAGCTACATCCCAGGCTGGGAATCATTGAGAAAGCTAATGAGCGTTAACAAAAAAATAAAATTCCTAGAAAAATAGCCATTAAAGAATTCCCTAATCTTTTGAGAAATACAAAGCATTTATAGATACTTATTCACAATTATCAGCAGATCTAGCTTCACAAAATAAAGTGTACAGCATTTTTTCTCTATAATGAAAAATAAAGCAATTTGACTCTGTTTTGTAACTTTTTCACTGTAAATTGACTAATCTAATTCCTTTGCCTTTCAGGAGGCAAATGATGTATGTATTTTTAGACTTGGAATGCAGAAATTAAAACAAAGTGAACTCTAAATGCATGCTTTTGTAAGAAGTAGTTCAAACATTATTTGGTTTACTTAGATACCAAGCAACAGACTTCCTAATGTAACTGATGTAAAGAGAATAGACGTGGGGGGAGATGGAGAGATTCGAGGGAGAGACTGTGTGAGGAAAGTTGGATTGCTTGCCACTGTTTTATTTCAGACTGAGGCCTTCTGTAAGTTTTGGAAACACGTGAGGAAAAACCTCCTTAGTAAACACTTTAGTAGATGATGGTAAACAAGACATTGCCTAAGATTTTAAGTGTGATGAAATCTTCCTGCTTTGATGTTGTAAACTCCTACTCAAGATCAGTCTTTAAGCTTCATTTATTTCTAATACATTTTTCATTTTTAAACAAGAATTGAAGTCAGTTGAAGAGTATTTTAATTTAGGGGGAAAAAAAAAGTCTTCTGCAGCGAGTATAAATAACTGAGACAATTTCAGTCACACAGGCACTTTCATAGGCAAAATCGGTCTTCATTAGGGATATGGCATGTGATAAGGCCTCGGACAAATACGGTTAGCTGAAATAGCCACTGTCCTCATCATCTTTTATTTAGGCTTTCTCATTATTATATTAGAAGTAAATGAAACAGTCTAATAAGCAGTCACCAGTTCTCTGGCAAACTGTCTCCTTCACCGTCCTACGCTTCTGCCCAGTCTGGCTGTTGTGTTTTTGTTGCATATTTGCCATTCTTCAGAGTTGAAAGAGACAAGCAGATTCAAGTTGGAAAGAACGGATGAGACAGATGAAAGAACAAAGAGTGAAAAAATGCTAATAAGAAAAGTTCAGTCAATTTGATAAAATTTGTCTTTCTCTTAATTGTTTAAGAAACAATTTTACTCTAGGAGTCAACTCCTAGAGTACAACAAGTTTACTCTAGGAGTCAACTCAGTACATACAAAAGGACAAAAATTCTGATGCACCAGTTGACTGGGAAGAACTTATATGGAGAAACAGCCAAACAAAAATCTCCACAGCACCTAACAAAGGCAAGAAAGCTTTTCAGAGCAAGGAGCTTCTACATACAGAACTAAAACTATGTAAGCATAGGAAAAGGAATTCATATTTCATTGTGACAGCTGAAAGTACCTCACATTGAATCACTTCAGTGCCCCTATTTATTCTCTCCTTTTATAAAAGTGTGAGAAGAGTTTTGGTTTCTTACCAAGGACATCTATGTGTTACTCAAATAGCTCAGAGGCTGGTATCTTTTAAAACACATGTTAAAAGATGACAACTCCCAAAGATAATTTGTGGTTGGCATATACACTGGCCACAAATACATTTAAGTTTCTAGTCTCTGATGTTTTCAAGGAGCCTTCAAAGAGAAGCAAGGAGAAAAAAAAATGGAAAAAGATTATTTTAGAGGTTGAAGTTAATTGGATTTATGAAAAGGAAAATGAGATCCGCTTGTCTGTGAGAGCAGGTAACCGGAATAAGGATGTAGGAAATGCTTTCATAGCCAACAATGTTATAGTCATACCTTGATGAACGAACAGTAATGGATTCACGCAGGTTTGGAAATCCCCCAGTCCTACAAACCACAGAATGGGTCATTTACAACAAGGGTAGTTCTGAAAATTACAAGTCTATTTAGTACACGAGACATGCATCTGTGTAGCTGGGTTAAATAAAGAGGAAAAGTATTTACTGTAAAGACCGTATTGATTTCAACTTTTGAAATAAAGTTCCTTACATACAATTGGATAGCAGGAGTGCAAACAGAGCTGCTTTTATGTTGTATCTGGGCGCTGCTTATATATATTTTCTTAGTATTTGAGACAGTGTATATCTAAGTGCATGCTGTGTCAGGTTAATTATAAAACAAGAAGAGGTGATAATCACTAAAAGGAAAGGCTGGTAGCTAAGTGAATTCACAGCTGCCATAGTAGGCGTTTCCAATCAGGTATCCTAGGGAAATAAGAACTGATTGCGTGCACAAGGTGTAATGTCATATTCTGGAGTTAAGATTATACTGAACTTTTGAATCTACTGAGTGCTGGAGGTAGAGCAGTTACTTCCCTTCCTTACCCGGTAAAGCAACAATGTCCCTATGATTAAAAAAAAAAACATTAAAAAATAATGTCCAATAAAAAGAGGAAACTTCATATAAAGGATGACTGTGGAACCTTCTCTTGTTTTCACAATCTGTAATTTTAAATTGGGAAGGATGAGCTGATGAATGATCTGCTATCTCAACTACGTGGAGATATGGCTCATTTCATAATCAAATCTAGATACACAGCCTGAAATATTACTAGTAATAACTAAAAATATAAGAGGTTATCATCATAAATCTGCTAAGTAATGCTTTGACCAAGGACATAAAAAAAATGGGGCAAAGTATTTTTATACTGATACCCTGTAAGCCTACACTACTTGGCAAATATGAAGCTTTCTTATTTTACAAAGACTAATATGGTCTTGGGATGCCTCCCAAAAATCACTGCTAAGAAAACACCCTGCATTACAGGTGGATAAAATTTTAAGGGAACTTCTCTATAATTCTCAATGACTGATAGAGTACGTACTTAGGTGTCAGTAATTCTAAATAATAAGAACTGTTCTCATACTTACAAACGTATTAAAAATATTACACAAAATTTCAGATGACCATGTCATAGAAGTGGTAAGACAATGACCAAGAACTAGCCATAATACTACTGACAGTATGTGAATTTCAATTATCACACAATTTTTTCTTTTCCACTTTGTTGTTAAACCTGCCTCAGACTAGGCTAGGTTCCAAACCTATCAACTTTTGAGGACACACAAGGGTGGGCTGGCAAGGAGAGGGAACTATTCGTGTTATTTCTGAACAAGGAAAATGCAAATCAAAGTGATAAAATGGATAGGATTCAATTATTTGTAAATTTTAATTCTAGTTTATGGTGACAGCTTCCAGGTAAGGGAGTATAAACCAAGAATAAATGATATTTATTTTGGGAACTGCAGGTGCCCAATTCCAAGGTCTGAGACTAGCTATCACATCACATACTTACTTATGGACATGTACCAAAAAAGGCAGGGCATGGCATCGGTGGTAGCTGTGAAATCTGATATCCTGTCAAGCTACCAAAAGCTGGTTTCAGTGTTCTTGGTGGCAGAAAGTAACAGTTTGGTGAAATTATAAAGTAAAGGGGTATATTCCTTAATTTACATTTGCATCTTATTTCCACTCCCTTTTTCTTTTTGCTATTATTACAGAACATTACTACCATCTACCTACTGTAGAAAACAAAGCTTAACAAAAAAATTCTGAAAAGCATGCACGCTTCTTCATCTAACTTGTGCTATTTGCAACGTATGAGTTGCAAGAAGCGGAGGAGCCGTAACAAAAACCACAGAATGAGAGTGTGTGTGTTCCTTTTCCTCCATCTGTATATGCTCATATATGTATAAAGCAAGACCGCCTTTAATTCAGACAATTTGAATTTTGGTCCATGAGGGCAACAGGGGTTTCTCTTAGCAGCCCCAGCTCTTAGTAGGTTTATCTTTTAGATAGGAACATTAAAAGCTACTGGACGCGAGTGTAGTCACATCAGTCGCTCCATTATGTGCAGCTAGTCAGGAGAACGGCACTGGTGATCGTGCAGTCTGAGCTCAGGACAGATATTTATTAATTTCTAATTACCAAAACAAAAACATAGTATGTTTTATATTCATAAGACGTAAACTCAAATATGGTAAGAAATCCTTACTAACTAGTAATTACCAAATTGCTCTTTTGGCAGTTTTGCCAAGAAATAACCTTAGGACTACTCTAGAAAGTAAAGAGGCAAATGTTATTATGGAAATGAAACAGAGCACTGAGTATCTTCACAGTTCCTTGATAACATGCTACAAAACTAGATACCCAGCACAGGTTATATGAAATAACTGCAAGTGGCTTCACTACCTAAGCTATTTTAAGAAATGGAATAGGATGCGTACTAAAAATATTTTTTCCCTGGTTTATTTTGTTTAATTATTTGCGTCTTTTTACCCTTAATGTGTTGGATTCTGATAGTTTGGGAAAAAAAAAATGTAAAAAAAAAACCCGGAGAGCGAGCTTTCACAGAAAACATGACAACAGCGTTCCCTCTTGTGCTTTTAAAGGAGAGTACCTGTGCGTTGAGCTTAGGGCACTCCTGATTCTTCTGTCCTTGATTTTGTCCTACTGCAACAGCATAGGTGGCAAGCAGAGTCCAGAGACGCAGGGCTTGCATGCAGGCTGCCAACAAAAACCAACCAAATCCTTTTAAGAATTGGTCTACTATATTAGGTGATCTTTGCTATTCCTGCTGTATAGAAGTAAAAGCAGACATGCACGGTACACAGCTACGTCACTCGGAAAACACCCACGCTTAAGACTACTCTGAAACCTATTTAAAAGTAGAGGAACATTTCAGTTGAACTAACCTATTCAATAGGAACTGGTAAATATATTTATTCTTTCAATGCTGTTGCCAATTCTGCGCTATCAAATTTTTATTGTAAAAATACAGTTTGTCACAATAAAGAACTCTAAGCAATGCCTCAGCTTGAAAACGCAGGCAGAAGACAGAGTCAGTACTGTTGACAGAAGCTGTGCACACTTACCAGAGGGTTTTGCAGGAGCAGCTGCAGAAGCAAAAGAAAATTCCTCTTGCTTGAGAAACACTAATATAGCAGCACAAGGTGCAGTTGAGGGCGTTTCCAAATACAGCCTGACTAATCCCCGTGCAAAACCCCAGGGACCCGTGACGCACATCAGCCATGCCCAGCAGTTTGTCATGCTCAGCAGTACAGCCTGACGGGCTTACAGATGATCAGCTGGTGCACCAACAACAAAACCTTTGACCTTCACCGAATGAACAGCTTTCACAGATGCAGCAGGCAAATTTGGGCTCCTCTAACAGAGGAAGGCACTTGTTTTTCGAAGCAGAAGTTTACCACTTCGTGACTTTTTAATCCTTTTACAAAAATCTTTCCAAGTATTTTTAGGATTTCCTGTTGCAGAGAGCCACAAATTTCTTTCAGCTCATTGACATGGTCTCATTACCGTTTACAAGGGAACACACATTTATTTGTGCAGAAGCAGCAAATTAATTAATCTTTGCTTTGACTTGTAATGATCGATGTGATACTGAAACAGGAAATCAAGGAGGCTTGTTTGTCAGGATCTTTGAGAGACAAGGTGACTCAACCTGCTCTCAGAAGTTTGTCATTAGGCATGTTGCCTGAGCAAAGACAGTAACTAGATGTATTTAAAAGGAATCTTTTTTTACTGTGAGAGGATGGAGGAAGTATTGCCTAATCATATTTACACACTGTAATTGTATAAATGCTTGGAAGTGTCATGTGAAGTTAATTCTTGCTATAGCAACACTGCAAGCTTCCCTATACTATGCCACAATTCATGTTTGACCTTAGGTTTATGATCACTATTTCAGGCTGCCGGAACTAACCACAGACATCAGGCCAGTTCATCCCTGGCCAGGAACGGGACTAGTGCAATCGTCAGAATCGAAGCAAGGGCAGGTTAGTAGCATAGCACATACAAAACCCCTAATGCTGTAACAACGCCCCCCACGTTACCAGGACTCTAGAAATTCATTAGTTATGAAAATTTCCTTTTAAGGAGGATGTGCTGTTTTTCTACATTTAAAAAACCACAACAGACTTTTTCTGAATGATACAGTGGATCCCTATGTTTTGTGTCCACATTCCAACTGTAGGCCAGTATGTACTTTGTCAGGATTCCTCAGACTCTGACCTACATAGAGTACTTACATTTTTTTCAGTTCTGCACTCTGTGTTTTGACCCAATGAAACAACTAATGAATACTTGAGTTGATACCAAACGCTCAACTTTCATCAACACTCATCCTCTTAGAATTGAAGAGGATCCCCCAAAATGTACATGTTAAGGTCTGCTGTATCCTGAAGCAGCAAAACAGTTTGAAAGGTATGTTCAACATACAATCCCTGCAAAGACTATATACAGTAAACTGAACTTACTTGGCATTGGTATTTGCCAGGATTCATAGCTCCCATTAATCTACTTGTTGTAGCATTTGTATGCTGTTGTAATAGGTAACATACAGGGAATATTACCTTTTACAGTATTTTAATATAGTCAGCATGCTTTTGGTTAATAAAATCTCCATAATAATGTTTGGGAAAGCTATGTATAATGCAGTATCTTGAATAAACATGAATTATTTGCACAACAAAAAGCTATAGCTTACGTCCGTGCTGGATTTCTAATGTTAAACAGTCTCATGAACAATGAAGTAAAATATGCTTCCTAGATGAATCAGGTAGTTCAGGTAAAGGCATCACTTTATACATTCAGTTTGCAAAATTATCTGTCTTCAAGCTCTTATATATTTCAAAGGTGACACTGGTACTGATATAAAAGTCTTGTGAACCTCATAAGTGAGACTGGGATGTGGTGCGGCTGGCCTGCTGATGTTCTGGTACTTCTCAGAGGTGATTCAGTAACAAAATTAATTCTAATGCTATCAAGAATTTAAAGAAAGTTGGCTTGCTCTTTATGAAAGTTGGGGAAACAAAAAGAAGTTGGGGTTTGGCTTTTTCTTTTAATTTACATATGATTTAAGATTGAAGAAGAGTTGCAGAAATTAAGTCCAACTTTTACAGACCAATTTTTGGTATACCACACTAATTAGAAAGCATTTTAAATGAACGATTATGGTGTTAGTGAAAGACCTAGAAAATGACGTGAGCAAAATTTCTGTAAACATTAATACAGCCAACACCTAATTCTTAGAAAAACATCTGCTGTATCTCTAACAACAATGTACTTTCACTTTAATGAAAACGGTGCCTATGAAACTCCTCACCTACAAAACAAGCAAGAGTGTCTTTGCAGCCCTCAGAAACCTTTGTGTCAAACACTTTAATTACAATAGCTACTACTGACCCTGTTCTGTTATTGCTGATTTCAGTCAGTTGAGCATTTTGTTTACACTGGTCAGAGATTAATTAAAATTACCACTTCTTTTTTAAAGAGGGAGAAACAAAGTCCAGCATGACATTTCTACTCTCACAATGCCGAAGGTCATTTAAATATATTTTAAGAACCACGAACTAAAGAGGTATAGCTATTGCGACATATAGGTTCTATTTTAACCTTTTCTCTTTGGCTGAGGGCCAGTATCTCCACTGCAGAATATTCTATGCAGAAAGAGAGAGAGAGATTGAAAGAGAGAAAGAATAACACTTAAAACATTAGATGATTTGTCATTCATATAAGACTAGGAAAAGGTTCAACTTTATGCGGTGTTGTTTTAGGTGAACTTGGTTTGTAGAGATTCAGGATGCTCTCAAAGAGTGTGAAGCACTGGAAGTTTTAGTCTGAAGCAAAGAGAAACTGGTTTTACCGGTCCTTACACACCTCTGCCCTAAGCTGCACCTATCTGTGGAAAGAAGTGAACACAGCACAGCTAAGTTACGTAAGCAAGTAAGCTGAACTTTTTCTTTTTTTTAAGTAAAAAGTTGAATACTTCAACTAAACCGACATCAGCTTTTAAAGGTCAAGAAAGAGATGATATTAAGAGTAATTTCTGTTCATGAGAATTAGAGTATTTGCTACAAAAATTAGAGGTGACTGAATCCTGTCTACAGCATAAACATTAGCTATGGCTTTTCATGAGCTTACTACCTTTGATTCTTGTTTAGTGAGCCTACTACAACTGAACAACTGTGAATATATTCCCCTATATTTAGCATATCGCCCAACTTTACTTGAGTAATACCTTGTTTTATTGCAGGGATCAATTTTAAACATTAAGGAACTGTATTTGTTTTCTAATTTTGCTTTTGTAATAAGTCTACTTAGTACGTATTTTCCAAAGTAGACTACTTGATATGATCTCCACCAGACAGGGAAAGCTAACTGAACCTTAGCACTCAAGTACCAAAACCAAGCGGAAGAAGGGAACCAACCTGAAAGAATTTAATTCAAACATGATTTTTATTCATGCCCGACTGAACTGAGTTAATGAGCAGCACACTGGCTCCAGCAATAGCTTTTTATATTTGTAAGTGACAATTACAGGGAAAATAAGATAAATGTTCGGTTTGATGAAGCTGGAATACATAGAGATTTAGAAGGATGCCTTGCAGGAATTCTAGATACCTCTTATTTTTCCAGTACAGGTTTGGTGTAAAAAAAACACTAGATATATTTACACCTGTTATGATGCAACACAGAAATATTATTTCTATATGAAAGTGTGTGTGTATTACAGAGATGACTCATGAGGAATGTAAGAGATTCTTTAACCAGAAAGAGCTTGAACAGCACTTGCTATGGAAAAGTGCTAAGAACATATTAAAGACTGAATTCATTAAGCTGTGATAAATCCAGAGAACACACATGCTAAGAAGGTGAGGGTCTTAACCTGAATGGTTTTAAGACTCAGCAGTACCAAGTACAACTTGGAATTTGCTTTGTTTACCCAGCTACAGTATTTTTAAATGTCAACAATAAATACATGCACAGAACAAATTAGAGGAGGTAAACACTGTATCACAAGACATATTTAGCAACTTTATTTGATAGAGATTTTCTAGATCTGGGAAAGATTGTTCACTGTCTCCTCCAGTGTCAGACGTAGAGGTCATCAACTAAGATTAACAGGAGGCATATTCAAAACAACTGAAAGGAGTCGGCTACAGGTCACACAATTGAGTAAAGTAGTAAGATGTGGAATTCCTTTCTGATGATACTGTAAGTTTACACAGCCTTGAAAAGGTACTGGATAACAACATGAAAAAAGCTCATCTTAAATGACAGACCCTGTCTCTGAAATACAAGCTGGTGGAGGCTGGGAAATCATTCTGGAAAAAAAAAAATCATGACAACTTGCCCCATTCTTATGCTTTCCCTGGGCCTCTACTAGACAGGTGATACTACCTGTATCAGGCAAGACCTTTCATGGAGGTAAGTCAACACTCCCTGTTTGTAACGTGACGACAGGGAGAATCATTTGCTCTTCGTGATAGTGCTTCAGTTTAATTGCCAGTATCTCATTTTTTACCCCATCCTTCCTTTTCCCTACCGGTGGTTCTACAGAGAGCACAGATACAGAAAATTCGTTTTTGACAAATTAGAATTTTTGAATTTGAGTGGTACTCTCATTTTCCTTTAATACTGCTATGGTAACGGGATAGATGGTGAAGTCTGGCTATCTGAAAGATCTGCTTCCCTCTCATGTTACACAGAATCTAATGCTTACTGAAAGCATGCTTACAGATGAGGTTGTTGGTACAACTAATCCTTCTTCAAAATATCTAGGTGAACAGTATAGAATTCTAAGAACTGGCAGTATGTAGATACTGTGGTATATTTATACATCCTTAATTAGCTATCAGGTGTGTAAAAGTTCACCTTGCACAATAACAGAATTTTGATGACCTAGACTATTTTCCCCCCAAAACTGTAAATTTGTATGTATCCTTTTTATAAATAAATATCCTGCATATATCCATATGCACATGCATTAGAAAGAACTTAAAACAAATACTTGTTTCCCTAGAAGCTTCCCATGTAACACTATCTAGAATGGAATTTGCATTAAGCCCAAGGCCCGGACTGAAGCAGTTGCTGCTGATTCTCTTCTCTTATCTAAGAAAAACCCGTCTGCTTAGATTTTTTTTCACTAAGCCTAAGAATGTTGTATCTAGATCAAATAAACTCTGAC